TTTTTTTCGGAGGGGGGGGGGGTGGGGGGTATTTTCTGTTCTTTAGTCGGTACGGTCACAAGTGAAGAGGAGTACTACAACATCTGTTGAAACAGTGGTTCTACACGCCACCGAAGATGTGAGTATGTAGAAGGCCATGATTTTGGAGGCGGAGGAGCGGTCCTCAGGGACAACAATCCCGAGTTAGCCAAACTCATGGTGTGCCGGCTTCTAACTCAGCTTGCTAAGGAGGCTGGTCTCCAGAAGATGATCCCGAGGTCCAACTCTCAGAATGTGGTCTTCAAGATCAATGGCGAGGCAAAGGATCTATCATCACATGGTCCACTTGTCAAGGAGGTGGGGAGGGGCTCCTCCAATCCTTCAACGAGTTCAAGGTAGTATCGCCCATGAACTAACTAAGGAAGATTGCAGAAATAAATTTTGTAAAAGTTGATTTCAGGTACCACTAGCATTTGTTAGTGCGGATGTGACCATGCAACAAATTCCAACTAAGAAAAAGATATGCGGAAGCACAACTATCTTAGTTGTTTACTTATGCTAATTGGTAGACTCGGAGAAACCTTAGTTGTTTACTTATGTTTACTGCGCCAAAGAAAAAGTTCAAATGGAACCTTATTGCACCACGATGCGAGGAGATCAAGCTTCTATACTCCAGTGTACTAACAAACATCCAATATATTGATTGGGAGGGCATGGAAATACCATGCGCCATACACCACCCTCTAATTGCTACTCACTCCTATCCAAAATATGTGTCGCAGTTTTGAACTGTGGTTGGTTTAAAACTATGACACTTATTATATAAATCGAAGGTAGTAAATAAATGTCGTAATTTTGAACTGAGTTAGTTTCGTCAGCTACTCTTTTTTTTTGCGTGAATTTTTTTAATCTATTCATTTTCAATCATGACAGTACAACGAACATCAAAAATAAAATAAAAATACATCCAGATCTGTAGACCACATAGCGACGAGTATAAACAACTGAAGCGAGTCGAAGACACGCCGCCGTCATTACCCCTCTTTTGCCGGAGCCGGTATTTTCAGAAACAAAACTTTTTGTCCATCCGTCCTTGCAAATTATTGCATATGCAATTGGGAACTACTCCACTAGTTTTGTTTTGCATACGCGATGCGGCATGGGGTGGTACGTATCGGTCGGTTTAGGAAAGGAAAGGTGGTGAGCGGGACCCGAAGCAACTACGTATGAGCCATCAGCCATGTGCAGATAAGCAGCAGTGGACTCGGTCCGCTACTCCGGTTATAATCTACGTAGTCTAGAGCTAGCTAGTGGATGGATACCCGTGCCGGCCTGGAGCCAGGATCTTAATCGGTCTCGCAACTTGGCTGTGGCCTGTGGGAGAGGTCGGCCATAGTACAGTCCCCGTACGTGTTACTTAGGCATCATGCATAGGAACAGTAGCTGTTACCGCGCTTTTAACTCGCTGTTGTGTGCGTGTTGATGGAAAATCAATCAAGGATAAACGTCCACATAGATAGATGCCGCCAAAATGAATGGCTCGATTAACTAACGCGGCGCACAGAGGACTTGGTCTAGCTGCTCTTCACCAATCCGGGGTTGCATCCGGCTCAGAAAACTCGTCGTGGTGCCAATCATAACTCGTACACATGCACCACACGCAGTAGCCGCTGGATCATGGTGGCATAACCTTTCTCCATCGACGCGAGATCAACACAGCACAGATTTACGGCGACGAGTGCAGGTGCAGCTGGAGGATTAAATGAGGCGGTGCCGGACTGTTTGGTCCCGCTCGCGCCCGTACGTACGTGTCGTCAGACGGTGACACGGCCGATCGGATATCGAGTTACCTACCCACACAAACTGGTCGACACGTGCCCGTCCGTGTTCTTCTCTTTTCCCACCGGAGGACCGGATCCGCAGGTCGGTTGTGGCTGGGGCTGGGGCTGGGCTGGAACTTGAGCCTGTACACACATGCATGCACACTGTGCCAACAGTTTCTATCTGGCGGTAGGGGCCTTGTCAGGACCTTTGAGAGAGTTGTGTTGTTCATGGGCAATCATTGGGTATGTGGATTTTCCTTTTTCCGAAACATGTGGACCTTGCCATCTTAGAGCATCTCTAATAGAAGATGCAAATTAGGAGATGTGAAACAGGAGATGTAAAATGCCTTTTATATCTTAAACAAAAGACAACTCCAACAGATGATGTATATTGAAGATGTGAAAGAGCAACTCCAATAGATGATGCAAAATGGAAATGCAAAAACTAGTGGGGGCAGACAAAATAGGGGCGGCGGCGGCGCGGCACGATTCAGGGCGGTCGCGTTGGGCAGCCGGAAGAAGGGGCATCCGGTGTGTGTCGGGGGTGGTTAATCAGGACGACAGAGGAGCGGCGTAGGGGCGGCAGAGGAGTATTGGAGGAGCGGCGAGAAGAACGACGAAGGCAGACGACCGTTGGGTAGGCGGCGTGGCTCACCTGCCCTACCTCCGACGGTGGGTCAAGGCTAGGAACAAGCTTAGCCCGTCCATGACCGCACTATGGAAGCCATTATGGCAGCCAGACCTCTTGTGAAGCTTCAATTCGAAGCGGTGGCTGCGGGGGACAACCGTCGCTACTCAGGCGAGGTAGGCGGCGGGGGACAGGCAAACGGAGTCACGGCCGCGTCGGAGATGGGCGGGCGGGCGGCGGCGATGATTTTGGGTGAAATCGGCCGGCGGCGGAGTTGGGCGGCCAGGGGTCGGGCAGGCGGAAGCCGTATGATGGCAGTTAGGCAATTGGCGTGCGATCATCGTTTTTACATCTTCTGTAGAGAGAGATGCAAATTTGTAACTCAAGTTGTTGTATTTTACTTCTTCGAAAAACGGTTATGTAATTTTTTTGCATCTACATCATCTGTTGTAGAGGGGGTTTTGGACCTCGGAGATGTAAAGTTAGTTTTACATCTATAATCTACATTATCTATTGGAGATGCTCGACTGTCCAGAGGTAATTGCCTGGAGTGATTTGTGTGGAGATTTTCTGAAGAAAGGCGGGAAGCCTGAATGGGACGACGAGGTGGCAGCGCGAAGCTCTTCTTCTTCAGTTTAACTGCCAGCGCGAATCACGAGGTTAAACCTGATTTCCGTTCTCCCGCAAAAAAAGCAAAAAAAAACAGATTTCCGTTGCCACCTTCTAGCCTGTAGGCCCGGGTTCAGAACCCGGACTGTGGACGGTACTACTAATAGGCAGCGCAGACCAGGTCAAACGGGTGGACTAGGCTGAGCCCC